GACTAGCTGCACTTTTGCATCTTGAGTGATCATAAGATATCTACTGATTTTAAAACCAGTGACAATACCAGTGAAAATTGTTCAGCTTTTTTTTTTTTTTCCCAAACAACTTCTTTGGAAACATTTCTTTTCACCATCGTGACCCACTGGAAAGAAGGTCTAAGTATACAATATTTTGGAAAAAACAGTTGTAAAGGGTATAAAAAAAATTACAATGTACTGAAGACTTCCCAGGCATCAGGGAAAGGAGAAAAAGAAAAGAAGAAAGTAATTCTATTCCATCTGAATAAAATTTAGTATTGAAAAACAACACTTCAGAATTACTTAAACCAAGGAATACTGTCAGTGAGATGAGATTGAGGGACGCACAAGAACTTTAGAAAAATAATAATTAAATTCAAGGCCTACAATACCATGGCAGACTATCTCCTGAGGATGGATGCCTAATGACTTTTAGTTATTGTTATAAAGACAATCAATTAGACTACATTATTTTAAACTGATTTTAGGTCTCAAGGACAGTAAGGACTTGTATGCCACTTAAGAAAATCAAGTCCAAACCTGAAAAATCCCACATAAATTGCAATTTTTCTGTGTTCATTCTTAAAAAAGAATTCCAAGGTAAATTGGAACCGGCTGATCAGAGTAAAACTTGCATCTTTTGTTCTAATGAGATAATCATATCCTTACGTCATGGACACAGGGGTACAGTGGGTGCCCACATGAATGTGAGGCGCCAGCATGCTCTTGGTGCACATAAAGTACTCCAGGCACTCAGGCTACATTAGAGCAGTGTGTCAAGTGTGGGGTTTTGTCCCATGCTCACTCTGTTCATCACTAGCAGGGCTGTAACTGAAGCATTGGATTCAGGTTTGGGCTGTCAATGAAGGATGAGAAACTGGCAAGCATCCAGAGGAAAGATGCTAAGGTCTGTAGTGGCCTACAGCACATGCCTAAGGAGGAGAGGTTGAGACAGCAGTGTTTGTTTAACCTTTTGAAAAGGAGTCTAAGGAGTTATCATACCTGTCCTACAACCATCTGCAGAGATGTTAAAAAGGTATCAGAGACATGGTTTTCTTGATCGGGTCACTTCCCTTTTCTGAAGGGAAAATATCCAATAAGAGCAGTTTGTGGGTTTCAGATAACATGCTGCTGATGGGGTTGGGGAAAGTTTCTAAACCTTTTGCTGGAGTCCTTATAGATGGTTGAATATTAATTATTGGAGGCTATTGGCTAAATGAAGCTACAGACAAACTTACTCAGCATAAGAGTAAGATGAGCATACCTATCTTAGTCTTTGAGAAGAGACTCAGACTGGGAACCTTCAGAGGTCTGTTCCAGTCTATGTTTAATCTGTCATTCTACAGACAGCTGTGAACTGTCTTGTGTTCAAGGCAATGAGACAGAGTTTAGTCCCTTGAGCACTTCCAGAAGCAGTGAATCGGAAGTCAGTAAACTGGCAGTGGAGGATTACATCAGCCTGACGTGCTGTAGATCCCTTCCTGCCAAGGAACAGTGTAAGCAGAGCATCAGAGATGGAAAAAACACTGCCCTCCAATTACTGCATCTCCCTTTTGAGCTGAGGCACTTTACTATGTTAAAAATCTCTATACCCTTATCCTGAGAATCTTCTGCTCCTTAATACAGTATTTTTGGAATAGGATGGATTCCATATTTAAATGTAAAAACTTTTACATGAACTATTGAATTAACCATGTAATGCTATATAAATAAACTCTATGGCAGAGATAGTTACAGAGGTATATTTGCTTCCTTCCAGTTTATATCTTCAAGTGATCTCTTTGCCTTGAAAATTCTGCAAAAAGTCCAGGACCCAAATATTTGTGCGAATGGGAAACCAGAAACATTTCTGATAAGATCACTTTGAATATTTCCTTTTGATCTTGAAACACTTTCAGAAAAGTTCTTCTTGCTTTCAAGATTTCATGGTACAGAATGATGCACTTTGAAACTCCAGGACTTTGAGACAACTTGAGGCTCACTCCAGGAGATGGTTGCTGGGCTGTGTCAAAATAGTCTTCCTTTGCGAAAATAAGAAAAACCTGTGCTGAGCATTAAAGCATCAAATTGACCTCTAGTTAATTGGACAACTGAGTGACTCTGTGCTGGACCTGCAGGCTTAGGGCCACAAATGTCACTCTCTGCTTATCTGAAAAGCATTTTTTAGTTCCTGAGTATTTGCTGAGGACAAAATAAGAGCAATACAAGTGGTAAAACCTAAAAAGGTAGTGGAAAACATAATACTCAATAAAATCTTTTCCCTAGTGTTCGTAAGGGGCACAATTGGAGATTCTTCTTCTTCCTCCTATTATTATTCCTGTTCTTATTTTATAGTACACTTATTCAGAAAATTAGATACTGCTGAATGACTGATAATGATGCCATACTAAGAACAAAACAGCTGAGACTTTCAGAATTATCTGACATACTTAATGGCCCAATTTAGCCTTAAATTTTATAAAAGACTGTCCTAGTCTCTTTGAAGAGAATGCCATTTTCTATGTCTTTAATAAGTGAGAACAAGTTTAAAGCTTCCCTTTGTGAACAGTATGTGACCCCAAATATCCAGGAGAGCTATCACTGCACTGGAAAAAGACATAGTTAGAGCAAAGGAAAATAAATAAGAAGAAATGACAAGCCTAGCATGTAAAACTCAGGCAGGCTTAAAAATAAGAATAAAATCTACTTTCAGCACTATTGTCGAGGGGCATGCTGTGAAATAAAAAGTTATCAATTGTTTACTAGTTCCCAAATCTGTTCTGATTTTTAGAGCAGACTTTCTTTTTAGTGATTTACTAAAAATTGTACGTTTTCCTGACTCTCCTACAAAGAAATTTCTGATGCTGTCAGTGTATTCACCCATTCCACATGTTTGCAACTGGAATATGGTAAGTAAAGACATACATTCATGGCTGCACCGACTCCCATTTGGATAAAAATCCATTGGCAGCAATGCCCTGCCATGCACAGGATGAAGGATCTGCATTGCTCTGCTATAAATAAGGGTAAAAAAAGCATCAGAAATTGGCCATCTGTTTGGCTGACCCAACAAGGCAGGTGGTCTTTCTCATCCATATGCTCAACTTCCTAATAACTAGAGGGTGAGCAGGACTCAGCCACCCTCTTTTAAAGCAAAGAAAAACAAAACATGGCAGAAACATTCTGGATGTCACTGAACCAAGATGTACAAATCTTATTGCCAGCCATCTTTTTGAATAATTTTTTCAAATTTCTACTTTGAGGAAGCGTTATGAGATCCAAGTACCTTTGTGTTTATAAGAGAGGGAGCGAGTGGTTAAATGGTGGAGAGTCTCTGTCACAGAGGAAAGTGAAAAGGAGGATGCTTAATTTTGTGTGTGGAGTATATTGCAGAAAGAAAACAAAGAGAAATTCTTCAATTTTTTGTAGATGTTTGAAGAAATCAGGCAAGCATTAGACTTGAACCACCAAAGTCTGGAGTTTCATCCATCAGTCACTTTTTTAAAAGATAAGTCTCTTGACTAAATCTGAATTAAGTTAAATCTCTCTAAAGAGATTTATTTTTTAAGATAAGATTCTGCCACCAAAATGTTGCGCTGTAAACTGTAAAAGCTCACACTTTTCTTTTAAATGCCTTCAAAATAAGTGCTATTTATGCCATAATTATATGTATTTTCATGATATGCCATTTTCAAATGTGCCTTTTTGTTGCTGGTCAAGCTAGGATTAGATTATACTACCTTCATCTGCTAAGGAAGCTCCCAGGCATGCACCCACTGCTTACGATGCACACATATTGTGCATATCTACATAGTACTCTCTGAGAAAAAGCAATATAACTGTGATATCCAGTGATATGAGTGGAGCTCATGCAGCTGAAGGCTGTAAGTGGCACATCATTTTCATTTAAGCACAGGTTATATTCATCATACATAAAACTTTATTAAGCATGAAGAACGTTCTAGTTTATGTTCACCCAATTGGGCCTGCCTGTAATTCCTTGTCATCTGATAACTGAAAGCTAAATGCTTTTCCTAGTCTCATTCCAGTTTCACATGCCTGTGTTACAGAAAATTTCACTATTCCTCAAAACTGCATGTTTAGAGAGAGCTATTAGCAGAAAGGCTACATATGATAACTTTTGAAAAACTAGATCTGTTTTCATTCCTAAAGAAATCTTATGGAGCTACAATCCTGATGTTTGTTTCTGAGACCGAAAATAAAATTTAAATTAAGTTCCCATCTCAAAGCATGTGTACACTACATCAAGCATCAAGCGTGGGTACACTACAGAAATAATAATATAAGATTGAGATATCGTATTTTATTTTATCCATGCAGAACTGCTTACTTACATAACTGTTTTATTCTTTTAGGTAGGAAAGTGATACATGAAAAGAAAAAATATAACTTTGAGAGAAAAGCTGGGGCTTCAGTCTGGCCATGATGCAATATCATCAGGGGTGCAAAAGATGAAGTGGAAGGAGCACCTAACCTCATAACTCAGCCTCTGGCTTTGGCTAAAGATAGCTGCCTAGGAGAAACTAATAAACACAGTGCAAAGGTATAGCAGCACTTCTGTGGAACACTACCACTGCCTATTAATATCAGTGTCTCTGCAACCTGCTAAACATTTATAATAAAAAAAACTCTCTTATGTTTTTGTCACCTTTTTATTTAACATTACTAATTTCATCTTATTCTTTACTGAATGAAGAACCTAACTGTACACAGTTCCCAGGAAGAGAGGCTACCAAAGACCTGAGTGGAATATGAACCTTAGAAAATACTGCTTGAAACTTAGCAGAAACAAATCCAGCTATTTGGGCTGTGCCTTTACCAAAACAAAATTTTATTATCTTTTTTCCTAATTATTTGCTTCCACAAGCTCATGGTCACCACAGACAGTGGAACTACTCCCCCAGATATGCAGGATTATTGTTTCTTTATACTGAGGGGATTTTGCAATTATGAAGCAACACAAGCAACATGTTACTCACTTGTATTTATCTTCTGAAGTGAAATGTGCTTTTCCAGGTGTCTACGAAGCTTTACCTCTGCTCCGTATTTACCAGTAGTACCATTGTCAGCCAGAATAAAATGAGAATGCATGCTGTTGAGCACTGTCAGCTTGCTCATGGGATTGGACATCGTCTGGTACGGTCGGACCACCTGCATTTCAGAGACAGAGGAAGAAGGTACACTAAACAGAAAAGAGCCTCTGAACAAAATCAATGACAACATATGAGCTGACAAGGCAAAACAAAAGAAAAAAAAAAATACCATACTGCACTTGAGTATTATTGCCTTTTATGTGTAAAGTAGGAAATTTCCTTAACACTGCCTTTTCAGATGCAGACATGGCTTAAAGGGTTTTCCGTGGTAATCTGTTTTAATAGCGTCAATGTTCACTGCTTCCTTTAAAATCCAGATAATGGTAAGTGCTACAAAACTCTGGATGACTACACACACACACACAATGTATACCCTGTCTGCTGCTGACTATCTAGAGCATTGCTGTAAAATCTCACCTTGCTCTGGCCAAATTCTTTGATTCCTCCTTCACAGACCCTACCCAGCATCATACCTCCAGTGTTGGCTCATCCAGAATCACCAGCACTGGATACACACAAATACAGGTGAGTTCCACTCTTGGAGAGATGTACACATGATATTACACCACATTTTCAATTCTTTTTAAAAAACTATTGGCCCACTCCTAGCATTAGTAGAGGGCTTTTGTATTCACAACAGCTTTAGAAAGCTTGTGTTGAATGGGGAGTTTGCTTCACTTCCTTTGATTTGACTTCATCACGAGAAAATATGCAGCAGACTGAGTAAATTGTCTCAGTTACACCACTCATAGTCACCAGACAGACCAGATAATAGCATGGGACCACATTTGGCTGCCAGCTGCTTCACTGAGTGTCTATTGACATTAAGTAAGACTGTGCTAACATGGCAAAAGAAGTGGTGGTGTGTCAAGGCATTCTGACTGATACTCCAAAGACTTTCTAAAAATACTATTCCCTGCTTTTCTTATGTATGTCTTGTCTTTTTGGAGAAACAAAACTGAAAATCTGTCAAATGAAGTCCTAGCTGAAGAAATGCTGTAATGACTTGTTAGAAAACTCAGCTGGGCTATCTTTCATTTGCAAAGAATTTTCTTCAGAGTTCTGACATTATTCATTTCTCAGGTCTTGTGCTTTTAATGCACAAATATGTACACTCAAAATTTGACACAAATGCTTGCAGACAGAAATATAATAAGTTATTGATTTATTCCTAAGCTTTTCTCCCTCTGTAATTCTAAAGAGATCTCTAATTGAGACACAGTTCTTTAAAAATAATGTGTTAGCAATTCTTCAGCCAGAACTCTCTCAATATACATTATTTTCACTTGTGAATGTCTGCCTAACTTTGATCAACTCTTAGCCAGTAAGGAGAAATACATAAGATTCTTTTGCTGTTATAAATTGTCATGCAAGTGGTGCTCTGTAAGCTCTTAATCCTGCAGAAGGGAGGGAATAGGTCTGAGAAGACCTAGAGGGCAGCTGGCCACCAGCAAGGCAGTGCACTACACTCTGTGAGAACAGGTGATAGCTCTGGCTCAGATTTTTTAAATGCTGTTTCTTTTGGTGCCTCATTCCTAAAAATTTATTCTTCAGCTGCATACGACTTAACAAATATCAGTACACTGCTAGAATGTGTTTAATAGCTAGCTTCTGTAGATACAGAAACCATGTTCTCCGTGCCACTGTCAGAAAGAAAAGGTTCTTTCTCACAGCCCTAACAATCAAATAAAATCAAATTAAAGCAATGCAGATCTTTTAAACTGATACCCACCCCATCTCTCAATAAATGGACACCAGAAAGGCCTTACAGCAGAGGAATCCCTTGAACTACCTGTTCACTGTATGAGTAAAGGCTACTGTGCACACAATTCTACTGACAGCTTGTGGCTGGTTCCTGAGAGCCACAGCTCAAAACCTTCTAACTGTGACAGCTTGATTTGCAGCTCTAATGATTTCCAGTACTGAAGCCTTCATATATTGACTCAGTAATGCTGCTGCAGGACAGATTAGGAGGCTTTGCTTTTGTTCTGTGTTTAGCTACAAGGTGAGTTACATTATTAATAAATTTTATGGATGTGAAAATGAAACTACAATTATTTTCAATTTAACTTTTCACAGCATGCACAATTCAACATATGAATTCTTTTTTTTTGACAATAAAATTTCTCAAACCACACTGTCAGACTCTTCTGGTAAAAGGATAAACAAAACCTCCAGGTAGGCAAGAACATCCTAGGCTTTGTGCTTACTTCCTTGGGGTTACCTGCTCTTCCACAACACTCAGCAGATTTTTGATTTCTGACTCTTGCAGTTTCCATTGCTCTGTTCTTTTGAACCCTTTGCATTTCACAGGCAAGTTAAATAGTTGGAAAAAGCTTTGACTTTAAGCTGTCTTTTCATCCTCTTTTTACAGCCATAGAATCATGACAGTTTAGGACGAAAGTGACCTTAAAGATCAACCAGTCGACCTTAAAGACCCCCCCACCATGGACAGGGACACTTTCCACTAGACCAGATTGCTTAAAGTCCCATCCAACCTTGCACTGAGAATGAGGGGAATAGGGAGATAATGTACCTTGACATCTTCCTCTGCAGAGCTGAAAGGAATAGTTTGTGCTCAAGACAGTCCCTCCAAATACAGTTTAATGAATCGGACAGCAGCCATGCTGTGGAGCAGTACTCTTGCTGCATGGGGTGGGGGAATTCTGCCAATAGGTGAGGGGCTGGGCTGACCTCAGCTCTTGCCTTTGCACTCTGAAGTGGCAGCAAGCTTGAATGAAAAGCATTGTTGTTCTCTTTAGACTCCCTGTAGGCACATGACACTCAACATAGTGACAGCTCTTGAAAAACCTCTCAGGGTAACTCACCATGACAACGAGCCTGCAAATGCCATGTGAACCAGTGCGTGAATCTGAGCAGTCTGTGTGGAGGCAAAGAACTTGAGACAAAGAGTGACCTCAAAGTAGTGAGGGAAAAAGAAAGAGATGCATGTTTTGCTTCTCAAGGAGTAGGAGCTGTTGATCAAATCAAGCCATTTCTGCAGCCTTGTTGCTCTGGAGCATACCAGGGAACAGAGTAGTTTCTGACTTAATTCAGAGGTTCCTGAAAGTATCATGGTCCAGATTCTCCACATATGCTACAAATATGCCAGTCCTTATCTTTGCCCCTGGTCTCCTACTGATGTGACTTGGAATCAAACTCATATGCTGATGGAACAAACCCTGAAAGTAAAGACATGCATGCTACAAAGTGTACTCTTTTAGAAGGGAGAATGGCTCTGCGTGTAGGAAGAAACTTGTTTATAATCACAGTTTTCTACAAGACTGAGCAAGCCACTTTACTTTCTCAGTTCTATCAGAATATATGGGAAAATAAGGTAACTAACTCCCTTGAGTCTTTTGCTTTTAAATGAGAATCTAAGAATGTTAAGAGTTGCACCATTTTCTGCTATATTGCTTTTATAGTACTGGAGTAAGACGTGTCTTTAAGGATCTTTAATCATCACAATATCACAAATAGCAGACAGTAATAATATTTCCTTTAACTTGGGCAGTTTTCTTTATGGCTCTGAGGAAGTCCCCCTGGATTCCAAAAAGCTGACTGAATTGAAAGGACTGGTAAATATAATTAAACCCCTCAGCTGTGGCTTCTGGATCCACAAGGCCAGGCATGGGCTGAGGCATTAGGAGAGGAGCACCTCTGCTGAGCACACCTCCCCTGCCAGGAGGCACAGGGAGACCGCCTGCACTGGGGCGTGGGCAATGACCACAGCTCCCCCTCTGCACCTCCTGGCCCTCCAAAACCCGTGGCTACCACAGTCTTCTGCCTCTATCTGATGCTGAAAGGGTACGTTTTTAAAACTCTTCAGTTCTGATCATAATTTAACCAGACATAGTGCATACAGGCATAAATCCACACTGATGCCAGTGTTCACTAAGCCTTTTACTACTGGTTGATTCCTCCCCCTATAATCCTTTGTGGACTTTGTTTTTTGGTTAATGATGATTCTGTCTACATGTTTATGGTACTAGTTACATTTCCTCTTCTCGGATCATTTCACAGCATTCACCCCTAATGAGCCAATCAATACAGCATGCTTTGATTTTTAAAAAGCTTCCAAAACAGCTTCCTCACCAAATGCTTCTGAAGAAACTGCAGGCACTGAATAAGAGAGAAAGTCCTTTGAGACATAAGTAACTGAGAAAAGCTGGGAGGAATGGTGGGAAAACAGTGAGAAGGAAAAGGTAATTTTTGTGAAATTTTTTTGTGATTTAGTGACATAAATGGCCTACCTCAAACTGTGTTATATTCCATTCAACATAGGTGTAAGGGATTTGTGATTAATTAGAGGGTGAAAAGCTTATAAATATTTCAGTGGACTAAAGCCTTCATAAAGCAGCCTGATGAGGGAATAAAACGGAGGATAAAACCATAAGTGCTTCAGCATTACATCATGCCATTAATCAATAACTTTATAAAACTATTAGGGGCCAGGAAGTTGGGAGTATAAATTTAATTTTTTTCTATCAAAGGTATATTTTGAAATATTTTTGTGCTTAATTATGACCCTGTAATTGTAACCCTAATGATATAATTGTGTCTGCATTAATAGAAGACCTTACCCAAATTAGTTGTAACTTTATATTAAACATTTTTCACTTTCTATCTGATGATCAGAGTATTAATTCTTTTATGATTTAATCAGAAAGTATTTTTAATAAAAGCTGTTTATTTTTAAAATAAAATTACCATACAACCTCTTGGTTTCCTCTTAAATTGGAAGGATATTTAGAGGAAAGCATTGCTTAAAGAAATCAGAAATCAAGGGAGCTGCTCCACTTGGCTGGAACACCTGGGAAATCAAGTTCTGTTTTTTTCTGCAAAAGAAGGTTCCATATCCCCTTAAACAGGCAGTGACTACCTGAGAACTGAGGTAGCTTTGCAGCAGGAGGAAAAAAGTAATAAAGGAATAGCAATATTCCGGAATTCATGGCTAATTTTATGTTTTTTTTAACTTTGTTTCTGCTATGTTTCCAGAGCCCCATGCCTTATCACAAAAGACTACCTATTTGAAAATGATGTGCGCATTACACTTCTTTAAGAAGATAAAATGCATCCTTGTGCTCAGCTTTTTCTGCTAATTACTTGCTGCACTGCACCTCAGAAGAGTTCACTGGTGACTCAGAATAACTGTGGCAAAGTCTGATCCTGCTTGTTTGTGTGGTATTAGAGTACAAAACTGCATGTTAATACAGCTCCTCCTAACAGCTATACTTCCATAGTGAATTGCAATAAACTCCAGTTTTTAAATTTTATTTATGATCATTGAAACTCTTCTGACTTAATAGATACTTGAATCTTCCCCTTCCCTACTTGGTTATGGATACAGAACACAAATAGAAAAATGGGTTAGGCTAATGAAGACAATAAAGAAGTTCTTTATGTAGATGGAAAACGGTACCTCTTCCACTCATAGTCACTGGCTCTCAGACAGATGTCTTAGGAATGAATCAGAAGTGAGAAAAAAAACTAGTTCAGAAAACCTTCAGGTAACAAACAGTGTAGACAAACTATTCATGTATTTAAAATTTAGGAGTTAATCTTACTGTATTAGAGTTTTAAAAGAGAAGGATGGTGCGAAAGCATAGGAGAAACACTGAGCCTGTCCTTCACAAAGTGGCTGAAAGTGAATTATTTGAGGTTGCTCTTATCTACAATACCCAGTAAGACCCTTCAAAATCGCATCAATAAAAATGTATGGGAGGGAATATATTCTAAGGAGGATAGCCTTCAATTTTGAATTTAACCAATGCATGTTTGAAAATAAACCAGATTTCAAGTTTGAAATTAGTGTTTTCTTAAGCATTTTTCCAGGTTCATAGAGTTCTAAGGATGAAGTTTTGATATATTTTCAAGAATAGCTATTAATTGCCCTCATAATTTATTTTTAAAGAACAGAGAGTGCAGAAATTTTTATTGCTGTCATGTCAAAACCTGCCATCAACCCTAATGGAAAACCTGTGTATATATTGACTTTTTGTGGCAGACAATAATTCTAAGAGGAATTGCTAAATGAAGGATGGAGAGAACAGGAAAAATAACTGGAAGATTTACAGATACTGGAGGTCATCTGTGTCTATATAGGTCTTACATCTTTGCCAATCAGATCCTCTTGATTTTCCACAATGCCCCAGGGAGCTATACCAATGGTGCAGATCTTCCCTCGAGATTTTGAGGCGTGATCTTTCAGGGCATCTCCAACATGCCGAATGACCCCTGGCAAAGAAACAGCATAAAACAGAAATTCATAATTCTGTCTTTTTTGTTCATTATCATATGGATTTAGTATAGACTTGTTATTTTAGGGAGCATCTGTGCCTATGCTTACAATTAAGTAAAGCTATGAATACATTCCTACTTCTTATTATTAATTTCTGTGAATCCATTTAATTGAATCAAAAAATTACTAAGTGAAATAATAAGAAAAAAATACACAGCTTTAGAAAGAAGAATGGGAATGCTGGCAGTTGACTGCAGCTTATTTATCTGTACTTGTGCTCACATGTGCATGCAAGCATTTGTGTACTTCCAAGCACAGAAAAAAGCGTAGGAATTAACTGCTCTCCCACACCCCCCACTCCCTCAAGGTGCAGCTTGTACACAAATGCTCCCATCAAGGACAGAAATGTGAAAACACCGTTATGCTATTCTGTGGCGAACCTATTTTATCACTATTTCCAAACAAACTCAGTCACCTGAGGTAGATTCCAGCAGAGTATTAGAACCCTACTGGGAAACAGTGAGAAAACAGAAATTAGGACAGAGAGAATGGATGATCCCTAGAATTCTCCCAAGTGCTGCTTGCTTACCCTATAGACCGGCTTTGGCAGTGTTTCATTGGTATCTCTTGCAAAGGACAATTGTCATTCCTCCTTCCTTTCAATAAAATAATCTTAAAATCTGTCTACTAACAACTGTTTTTGGGATGTGGCTACACTGAAGCAGACCTGTGGCTTTGCTGCAGATGTTAGCCGATTCTCAGTTGCTGAGTTTCCACATTGCTCAAATTTCAGGATTTATGACTGGATAGAAATTACAGTCACATAATTGTTAGGATTTTGGTTCTCGTTTTCTGAACTGTAAATGACCCAGGGCAAGAAAACTCCCCAAAGCCTAACAGATCCTCTATGTCCTCAAGTCTAGTATTCTTCCTGTGGTGGAAAGTTAAAAAAGCCCCAACCCTGTACCTGCCATCAGCTATGAATTAAACTATGATCCAACAGCCTAAAGGATTTAAAGCAGAAAATCTGTCCGGACTGCAAGAACTTCTGCTGTTTAGAATAATCAACTTTCAGTATGACATGAAAATTCAGAACAACAGTCATGTATATAGCCAGACAGCCTCACACATCACTGTTTCTCAGTCCAACACCAGTATTTCAGGACTTTCCAGTTATAATTTCCTTAAGAGAAACCCAATTTTAAAATTAATCTTCAACAAAAAAGACTGTACCAAGAAATTCTCAATTTTTTATTACCTCAGAAATAATTTTCTGCTGTGCAGTTTGAAAACCTAGTCCTCGAACAAACAACTGCTTTTCTCCAGAAATTAAAGACAACAACGAGAGATTACTGATATTGCAAAACAGCTTCTGGAACTGCATGTTTTTAAAACAGCAGAGAGACACTTGAACTACATTATTTCATCCAGGTAGTTTCTGATTACAGGAAAAATAGTCCTTTTCAACAGTATTTATGATGAATTCCTGTTAATTTGTACTGTTTTGCCATTTGCAGCTATGAGGATTTGAAAAATGGTAGGAAGCAATTGTGCATTTGCCAAGTGCAATGTGTTTGTCCTTTTTTTTAAAAAAAATCTGTAGTTTGATTTCTACAGCTGCTGCGGTAATCTACTGCATTAAGTGTACAACATGTACATTTTTCTGATGTAATTTTAATGTAAAATTTACATCTGTCTTTCCATCATCATGACAAGAGTATCTGACAACTAATATTATTACCACCACAGTGCACAGATCAGCATTAACCTGGTTTTATTCCTTATTTTGAAGAGATGAGGAGCATATTAAATTTGTGTCTATTTATCTAACACTTCAAATGCTATGCCTTTTTGCTTTCTTCAGGGACCAAGCCTGACAGAGTTCAAAAAGTGTTTGGACAACACTCAGACACATGGTGTGATTCCAGGGCTTGTCCTGTGCAAGAGATGGACTCTGTGATCCTTGTGGGTTGCTTCCAACTCAGCATATTCCATGATTCTGTGCTACTTGTATTGCTGCTGTGATAAAACTGAGGACTGTTTTAAATTTGATGTGCTCTGGAAACCAAGTCCAAGACTCCTATTAAGCATTTATGTTCAAACATGTAGGAGTTGATCCACCATGCACTAAAATTAACACATGATAGAATGATTATATTGTTTTCCAGAGACAGTAAGAAGACACACTCTTACTAAAGTGAAAAATTATAGCTTTGCTACTGCAGCAATTGAGAGTGACATAAGAATTTACAAGTTCATGTCCTAGCTCAAAACGTTTTCCAATTCTCTCTAGCAGAATTTTTTTGACTTTCCCCTGAATCTCTTCCCCTTTCTGCCTCCTTCAGGGCGGGTAACTGAGATGTCAATGCCAGAATTTTTTGTCTAAGGACCTATGTTTTGCAGCTTATTCCCTAAAGGGGAGGTGGGCCAGCTGCTGTCTTGGATCCCTGGGACACCTGCTTGGAGTATCACAGATGCTCTTTGACTAGAAATGACAGATGTTGCTCTTGATGAAAATGTAATAGCAAAAAATTAGGTTGAGCTCTCTACAAGTAAGGAACATGTTTCCCACCACATTGGAAAATCAGATTTTTTTTCCTTTAATACTTTGGGTCACGTGATTAAATAAAATAAAGGTCTTTTCTGTATGAATGTGTTTTCAGTTTTGTATAATAAGAGTTGGACTTCTTTGATTAGTAGTCCTTCCCTGCAGCTTAGAGTTGATCTTATAAAGACTTCTCTGGTGATACACTAATAGGATTGCCTTGCACGAGGTTTTACTTTTCAGCTCCAAAGTGTGCTTTTCATACATTAGCAAATTTTTTATTCTGTTTTATACCCGTTGTCAGGTTGGCATGAATTTGGCATTTTCTTGTTTTTACATAGTATAGAAATGACTAATAAAATAAAACATAGAATGGCTTTCTAATCTCATCATTCTTACTTTTTTTTTCTTTTTATGACGAAGTCTCCTAGATGCTGCTGTGCTTTTATCTCAATGTTGCTCTTACCTGTGTTTACTCCTCCAGTGAATATCCATGCTCCAGTTGTCATTGCAGCCTTAATAAGTCCTTTTCCAAAGACTTGTTTGAGTTTTGGCTGAAGTTCAAAGTTCTGAAGGCCCCCGTGCACAGAGATGAGAAGTTTGGGGAGCTCAAGTTGCCATTCTTTGGTCATCAGATGCAGAAGAAGGTCAGGCTTTGTGTCAAAAGACACACGTACATACTGCAGAAACAAGGTCAATAGTAGAGGAAAAAAAGATTGGTTATACCCACTGATTTCTAATGCATGTTATCTGTGCCCAGTTGATCACTATTTTTAATGACAAAACTATTAACTGTTTGCTAACCTGATGATTAGTTTCTAGTTAAGAAACTAGGAATAATGGAACACTTGCAATTCACAGGCTGGATAATTTTCTTTATTTAGGAAATTAAGACATTAATTGGTTCAAAATCCTTAGCAATGCTTGAAAGTAATGTCTACAATTTATAAATGCAAAAAACTGGAGCAGAAATGTAAGAGGGCTGCCAAAGATGACCTAAGTAAGTCAGGGTCACAACTGTGCATGTACTTGTACCGCATTTTCAAATTAACAAAGTTAAACCCTTACATGGTAAGAAATAACAGATTAAAAACTCAGTTCTTCAAGCACACATAAGTATAATTGAACAAGACTACTAAACTGATACTTTCCAGATGAAAGAATGCTAACTACATACAATTTGTACAGCTTCATGGTCTTGCCTTAGAAGACTCTAGATCCTAAAATGGCTGTGAAACAAATTCACACATTTCCAGTTGCTGGCTGTTCTGTGCTATACTTGCAGCAATTTGTGCTAGAGAGATCATATGTGTGCTCAAAGATAACAATTGTCTTCAAAATTTCTACAGCACTACCATGTCACATAAATACCTGTCTCTCTCTCTTACAAGCCTTTCTCCTGCTCTTTCAGTTGCTGTTTCACAAAACCTGTGACAGAGCAGGTGATATTTTTTTTATTTCTAGTTACATATCAGAAACACGGAAAAAATCCTTTCTATAGCTACTAAGATCTGGAAGGACCCCCTTAATAAAATAAAATAGGTTGCAGAAAGCAGTCATCTGTCAAACTTCTGATGGAATCAATGTCTGTAGAGCAACTTCAGCAGTCTTTCTCTTAATGGGTTGTCAGCACAGACATCAGGTGTATACCTTTGCCTTCAGCCTGAGGAATGCCTAGTCCTAATTTATTTATTGTAACATGCCAGGTAGTATAACATCCATACATATTATGTGTTATGAATGATGTTCTATTTTTCCAATTTATCAAGCACCAAGATTAAATTTAATAATAAATTTTTAATAGTAACAAAATGAATACAATCAAAGTATTGGAGATGACAAAGTATTGGAGATGAATACAATCAAAGTGCATATATTTGTGAATATAAAAAATTTGGCAGTAAGTAATTTAGTATACTTGAGGTTCGTATAAAGCATAAGCAAAACCGACTGGGGAGTGGCTCCCATTCCTCATGTACCAAAGCATCCAGGCTAACAATCCCACTTATATACTGTAGGCTACAGGAGTTTCTACAAAACTCCTCCTAGTTTCTATTCCTAAAATCTACGTCACTGTGTTGTATGGCGCATGCTCTGCTAATGGGTTAGGGGGTCTCTCATCCTTTTGAGGGTCTTATTTCCGATGAAGGCTCATCGTCTTCCTCAGTGACCGAGGTGTGACCCGCAGGTAGCGCAGGCGCCCTGTGTGACTGAGCAGATGTTTTCCATAACAAGACTTTAATTGAGTCCCTTGCTTGGAATCATCCCATTTTGGCCCATTTCAAGGTCAAAACTTTCTATTTCTAGCTGCTGCTTGTCAGACCTACGTCCTTCTACTATTCTTGTTTGACTTTCTTCCAACCTCCTTCTTTGACTCCCAACATCTGGAAGATGTCCTTTCTCCTGTCTCACTCCTTTCCCCCCTCACTCTGCAACAATTGTCTTCTACTGATCTAAATACAATTTTGTTAATATAGTTACAATTTAATTAGCACGAATCACATTTATCACATATGTAATCATTTTGTCCCTTTTTGACTCATCTAATCAGTATTTCTTGAGAAGAGTTTGTTGTTTTTTAGCAATACCATATGATAATAAAGTGGATTCCTTTCTAGCTGAGTAAGAAATAAGGATTTGACATTTTCCAGAGGAAACTGCTAATAGACAGGATTTTTTGCAAGAATGAGTTGTTGCACAGTAAACATCTATTGTTAACATTTCTGGAAGCAGAAGCTTGTTTGCACAATTAGTTGTGGGGCCCGAGCAAGAACTTGGGAATGCACATTCACCCCAGTGCATCAGCAATATTCTCTGCAGCAGTCAGACAAACTTGCAACAGCTACTGGACATAAAAAACACAGTATTCATGTCTGCCAAGCTCATTAATAAAGATGAACTGCCTCCTCAGTAGCTACTCAGTCAATTTGCAGTGTGAGATAAAATCTTGTATGGCACCTGATCCCACTGAGTAGATTAAACATTAATAATTTTTAAATTGGGATTTGAGAGTTGTCAAAGTTTTAACACACCAGGGGAGGTGCAACAAGAAAGATTCTTTTTCCCTTTTTTATGTCTTAAGACGATCTGAGGCTGCAAAGGGCAACTGGAGGCATTCACAGACAACATCCCTCATGGGGCCTACATGAAAATTCTGTTGGTCAAACGATGGAATCTTTGGCTTGGAATCACTGGTAATTTACTCTGCTTTTTGGTGAAGACAGACTGCAAGTCTTAAGAAGATAATTAAGGTGAATTCACACTGGCAATGACCATAAAAATATGTTGAAAACATGCCATTGCATCATCTGGGATAATATTAAGATAAAGGCACAAATGGCATCAGATGTGTATTACATTATCTGGACAGTGACTACTTTTTTCTTGTTTATTTGATTCTTTAGCCTTTTCTAAAAATACCTCAGAATGCATGATTTCACTGTCCCTACCTTCTTAAATCTATGTATTACTCTTCTTACACATGAATTCTAATAAATATAAATCTATAAAGTGAAGAAGAAGTATTTTCTTGCATTTATATGAAATGTAGGTAACTTGTATTGGAGCCAACTGCTTGCTTTTTATACTGCAGGCAAACTCCCTCTATACTTAGGATAATTTTACTTTACAAATCTAAGTTTTTTCATGTAAATTGAAATTTAAATAAAGTGAGATAAGATTGACTGGTTTAGAAGTTTTTGGCAATGATGCCAAACATGATTTTTTTATTGTGCATAGCATTCAATTTTTTTGACTATTTGAATAATTTTTGATCTTACCAAGGCAATTTTTAGTTTGGCATACTTGAATTTACTTTTTGCCACTACTTAATATATTACCTAGTAACTAAAAGAGAATCCTAATTTCAAAAGTTTACATTAAATTATAAATCACATCTTTAAGGCCATTTTTGCCTGTAACAAAAAATTCATGTCTTCTAATCTCATAATAGAATATTTAGCTCTATCAGTTTTTGCTTAGGATGTTAATGAGTCTTTCTGCTGTTCCTGAATTCTCTTGCTATATCCTCTAGAGGCAGATACAAAATTTGAATGTAAGCCAAACCACTATGCTGTTGTGCTATTAAATTCCATGCCTAGTGTACCTGTGTGGTACTATCAGCTCAAATGGGAGTTATTTGGCTCTTCCTTTATGGGAAAAGTATATGGATCAGATGCAAGAATTCAGTTTTTATGTGTCAGCCAAGCAGGGCAAGGTAGAAAGCAAAAGTACAGTTCTGAATCACAAAACCTACAGACTGACCTGACTGGCATCAGCACTGAATGTGAAAGGACCAAGCATCATTACAAAGCTGTAATGACCATTTCATCCCTAGAGTAGTGCAGTGGGAGTTAGCAAGAGTGCATTTGTTGCCAGTTGTTGTTTCACCTTTTTTGCCAAGTGTTCTCTAAAACAAACCTATGTCCACCATCAGTCAAACAGCCAGAGACTTCCAAGTTTGACTCCAGTGCCCTAGGGCAAAAGCCAAAGTTTCTGAGAAATAGAATTACTACTCATTTACTTAAGCACAGCTGTCTCATTAAAGTACTTGGTGAATTATTGCAGATGGGAGTGTCAGTGAATAAATTAAAGAAACTCAGAATTTTGCTGTATTTCTGAAAGTAAATCTATTCAGACAACATTTTGTGATCTGCATTCTAACATTGTTCCTATGCTACTTTTTGGTAACATATTTAGATTTCTATCACTGCAGATATGTATTCAAATTAAAGACTGGTTGCCTGAAAGTGTGATCCTCATGAAAAAATAAATAAATGTAATTCTCACTGAATTCAACAAAACCCCTGCTACTTAGACTGAAACCAGATTGCTTCTGTGTAAGTTATTTCTTAACACCTTAAGGCCTAATCCAAGTTCCACCAAACAATCAGTGAAAGGACCCTCATTGATTTAAAGGGGTTTGGATAAAGGTTTTTCTGTGTTATTTCCCCTTTCTCTCCATGTAGAGCACCATCTTTTAAATTGTGTAAATATTTTTAAGCATTAATTTTCTATAACAGAAAGAATGTTTGCTGCCTTTTCATGGTTTACACAACTTACAGGATTATCTTTTTTTTTTCCTCCCGAAAGCCCTGATGACTTTTGGAATCCTTTTTATACAGTTTTTATAAAATTCAATGCATTTTAAACCAAGAAAAATATCTTTTTCTTTGACTGACTTCCAAATATCCTTAATAAAGTTTAAAGGATCTGAGCATTAGCAACTTTGCCTAAGTAACTGTTAATGTTCATTGGAATTCTACTGCTGTTTTCATGTTTCTGTGCACCATAAGAAAACTTAAGCAGATAACACTGAAGTAAACTTCCTTTCTTTTGCAGCTGCAAACTTATTTTAGGATTTTACTCTGCATATGAAATGTATCATTGAAATGCAATCAGTGAGGAGGAATCTATTTAATTCACCAAAGGCTTTTCAAACAGCCATCTTCCATTTAACCCTGAAAACCCATGATGAAAGAAATTTTAGTTCTGCAAGCAGCAATCATTTAAAGAGGTTTATAGAAAATCCAGGCCCACTAATTAATGAGAGAACATTAAGGGTGTGTGTGGGTGTGTGTGGGTGTGGGTGTGTGTGTGTGTGTAAAGGCAGATAGTGTATTTAAAAAATGGGTTTAGTTTGCTCACAAGTGCAGTGCAAAATGCATCACATCAAGATTGTCTTAACCGGTACACTGATGAACAGAATATATATTCAAATTTTTCAGAATATTGCTCTTAATTGGAATGGAATCACTCACATTAGTTTGATAACTGTTTTCTGACTTAATAAAATGCTAGTATAAAGATAGATAAGTGTCTTCCTTCTTAAACTGCAAAGAGCCAACTAGTGTAAGCAGATCATATTTTATTAGTTTTCCTGTATTTTTATCAATTTTATTTGCAAAACCTCTTAACAAAATTTATGTACATCCACACCCCTCTCACATCGTTTTACAGTTGTTAAATTTGAAAATCTGCTATAAAAACAAAATAAATGCAGACAAGCAAAATTGTTAACTGCATTTCTTACATATTAATGGGATGAGTCACTTGTAAAGAAAATATGAGATTGAGAGGGATCTAAACACCACAGATCATCTGTGGTTGCATGAAACTGAAGGAAAGGCCTTTCTCATAACTGATCTTGTTAACGAGTTAATCTCAGCTACGTGTTTCTATATAATTTCCTGCACAAATTATTAAGCTATTCACATTATTGATTTAAGAAGGATATTGCAGCTGCACTGAAGATACTTTAACAACTCCATGGCATTAGCAAAAGTCATGCTGTTTGGGAATTTTTGTTCCATGTGGCATGTAAACCATGTGGTTTACAACACATAAACCTACATAATTGCTGTTTTGTTCCAAATCCATGTGTTCTGTTACAATTTCAGTATAATTTTCATTTCCACAGCTAAAGATCTGTTTGTTGTTGTGTGGTGGCAACTGATATAATATTGTATCATGGAAAGTATATTTATACTCACTGTATATTTTGTATTACAATCTAATTCTGTTATTTCAAATGGAAAAATAATTATCTGTCAATTTTATGGGTACTAATCTATTCCATTAATTGTCTCCTAATTTCCCAGGAGTGTAAGGTCATGGTTCCTTTTAACAAACCCCACCTAATTCTTAGCAGTCCAATTCAGAAAAAAATTTAGCAATTTTGCTGTTAGCACAGACCAAGAAAAAAATACTACTCAATTCAGTGTTTCCCTTGCTTAGTAATTTTCATGCATGGGCATCCATTTCAGGAAAAAAATAGGGAACAGGTGGAACATTTAATGCCAATGTTTTCCCCTGAGGTTTCCGTTGATTTGATCAGCTTGCCAAATCTTGCTGCTTTGTGAGGTTTTTTTATTAGCAAATAGGCACAATATAAAACTACTATGACTGCCAGCAAAAAACAGCTTGCATGCTGTAGAGTTATTTGGTAGCCAGCACCTAGAAAATTACTAGCACATTTTTAGAAAGGAATAAACTCATCATGTTTTCTCCCCTTTATCTTTCTTTCCTTATCCACACTGATCAGCTTCTCTGCATTTGGGTTTGAGAATGTACAGTTGAACAAGAATATTTCCAAGAGCTACTATGTACTTGCTCCTTTTTTTTCAAGCCTTATTTTATCAATATAATGTCTTCTTTTTCCTTCCTCTGATGAAAAAGTTAGGGAGTTCCTTTGATTGAGCAAATTCTTGGCTTCTACAGAAAACTTTGGATTTGTTAACTTTTATTTAATATGGGAAAATCCTAGTACCCAGTACATGCAAAGGGAGGAGTTAAATTTTCTATTAATAAAACTGCAACACCTACTTAGGCAGCTTTTTTACTATAGTCTACCCTAAAATAATGTTTGGGTCTGGAAATATGAACACAATGACATCTTCATGCTGCTTTATGTGGCAAACAAGTATAACAAAATTCTTTAATCCATTTCCATTTAAATGGTATGCAAGCCTCCTTATTTGTATTTTGGTCTTATGAATGGTATTTTTCTCACTGGTGGTCAGNAAACCCATTCGAGAGATATTTACTGAACTGTTTAATTTGAAGCACTTTTCCCACTAGTGAATAATCAAATTTCTGGAGATTTTATAGACTTTTTAAATGAATGAAAATTTTGTTTTATCCCAATACTTTGGGTGGGATTTAATGATTACAAAGAGATGGCATGTGCAACTTCCTGATTCTAGTCTGAAAAAATAAATCCAGAGAGTTTCCAGCAATAAGTGCATTGTCTTTATTTATCCCCGTTTTAGCTTGCTATTTAGTTTTCTGAGAGTTTTAGTCCCTCTCTCTGTTCTCTTTCTTTTTTCTAAATTGTTCATAGTTTCACTCCCCACTGCATTCTGTGACAATGTTTCTCTTCCCTTTATGCTGACTTCTAGTTTTATCTCCACAGTTTCATTTCAATTGAGCACACAGCATGACTCTTAGAGCATGTCTCTTCTAGCGCTAAGCTAGGTCATCAGAATCCCAGCAAAGATGAGAAATCCTCTAAGAGAATTGGTGTCAACATCTTCCCTAAAATCTTCATTTCTGGGCTCTCCAAGAGTACTTTTGTCTGGGCAGGGCTGTTTTTTGCTTTGTAGCAATCTTCAGCGACATCACTGAGAAAGCTCTAGTTATTATCCCTTCTCATAAAACTGATTCAATGCAAAGAATCCATATACAATTAATAACATTCCTTACTGTATCTTTGGACCTCTGGCCTTGCAGATTTTTAGTTGACTGGTTATCAAATGAACATATATGTCTGTGATACTCTCTGAGAAATTACCAATTTCTCAGAGAAATTACCTGTTTCTTGGTGCTTTCTAGTTTCTATCAAAAGAAGCCATCCATCTCCACAAACAGAACCATCCACTTGAGTAGTCACTCCAACCCCAGGACCTCTGTACACATTAAGGAAAATATTTTGCCCCTGCTAGCATAGTACCTGAGATTTTCAGAGTCTCTCATCTCTGTTTTTTATGACAGATCTGAGATATCTACTGGGAAGAATTCATGCACAGAAAACAGTACTGGATTGTTCTGCAGAGCGTCCAGGAGTTCAGCTTCTGCTCTCTCTGTCAAAGCAGTGTATTGGCCATGAAGTGCTAGGCACATACTCCTCTATCATTCCCAAAGATCCAGGTTCTGCAGCTGAGATAGAGTAAGAGAGATTGCTCCTTTTATGTAATATTACATAGGAGAAATACATGCACGGGTCAGTGTGTGTGCTGGAAATGTTTCTCCAAGTTAGTGGAGCAAAGTTTTCAGATTAATACACTTCAGTATGACTCCACAGGGAAGGACCAACTTCTTGCTCAAGGGATTTCCTAGTCCCTACATTAGATGCCTCTTATTTCACTGAAATATGAACCATAAGTCTAACTGGTCCATCTTCCTATACATGTCTATAATGTGGAATATTAACGGGAATTTGCTATGTTTAAAATTTGTCAGCTTTGCAGACCCGGACAGCAGTGGGAAATCATACTTGAATTCTAAAATTATTCAGAAAAAGAGGGATAAGTAGCCATTGGAATAAAAATAAGACAGCAGCACACTAATGTGTCTTCAGCCTTCATAAAGGTAGCTCCTCTTACACTGCACTCCAGCTTTTACAGTTAATTTTGTTCACCAACTCTTTGGCACATGATACATAAAAACATACATTCCAGTCATACACTCAATATTACTTTAGCATGACGTTAAGAAAGAATGTCGCTCATTCTTTGTGAACGCTTACTGTCAGCTAGCAGCATTATTTATCTAAGAGAAAAACATGGTTACCATGGCTTTATTGGAGTGGCCTCCTCCTTGGAACTCAATGGTTCCAAAAGCGTCCGTTGGGCTGAGCTGCGTGTGCTTGCTGATGGACCACTTCTCCGACTGGATGTCATTGCGAGGAAGCCTGGTTTCATTTTTCTCATTCTGAGCAGTGGAGGTGCTGGGAGGCTGTCCAATGTGTTGACCTGTTAGACGCCCACAGCAACACCTATGACATTGAACAAACAGAAAACCTGAGTCACGAGTGTATAAACTGAACAGGGCAACAAACTACAAAAAGAACCCAACCCCTTCTCAAATCTGCTGATTCCTTTCCTGAAGCCTTATGTATGGAAGCCATACAGAACATATATTTCCTTTTTTACCTTGTGTCTTGTTTACTTTGGACTTTCTGTATTTCAAAAAAATCATGCTTTGTTCTAAATATGTACAAAATGAAATTAAAGAACATCTCTTTTCTTCAAGTAACATCAGGACAAGTAATCAGCTTTTGCATGGATTAGCACAAATTGTAAATTGATAGTTTAATGCATCTATTTGCTTTTGACAATGATATGTGTCATGAATCCAATTTAGGCAAATATTCAGTGCAACGAATATTGAGCTAAGAAGATAAGGAAATTACACACAGATGCGGACCCACCCCTCATTTATTTTTTTTATGAAGTAAGTTTTGAAATGCAAACAAATAGTTCCCATAAGAATCCATCACTCCAGATGGACCTTCTGAACAAATAAGTTTTCAAAATATTTATATCTGGATCCATTGTATATACATACATATATATAGAGAGAGAGATTTCTATTTTAACCAGCTTCCATTTTTCATACAAGTAACATGCAATTACCTATGGGGGTCTTTGGTGCTGGGTATGATATGAACACATTCTCTCTTGTAAAATGCTCTTTCTATCCATGATTTCTGTGCCTAAAAAAAGAGAAAGGAAATGCCTTGAGCTCTGTTTGCTTATTATATACATCCTATAGTACAACTGTAGGAAAACAGAAAGTTCCACTGATTCTTCAGATAAACAGTTCATAATTTGCAGAGGGCAAACATTACATTAGAACTATGGTTCTCTTCTAGTGCTAAGCACCCAGCACAAGCTTTAAATATTATTTTCTTATTCACTAGCCAGATGACCTTGATGTTGTTACCTATATTCTCACAACAGAGGAAGAAATCTCTGGAGAAGAATTAACTCAAACTCCAAATCTTTCTGCATGTCAGAAAAAGCCCTACACCTATTCGTTAAAAACCACCTCTGTTCCCATGTCAGTGATACAACTAAGCCAACTCTAATTTAAAAAAAAAACCCACAACCAAACCAACCAAATTACCCCAAACATTTTTACACAAGCACTGACAGAGCTGCTTAACACAGAGGCAGAAACTGTAGTTTTCTGTGCGGACACCTTAATTTAAAAAAAAAAAGAAAAAAGATCTGTTTCTGAAACCAGACACAAAACATTTTAATACATCGAGACACCTGATTGGCAGGTAGCCTCTAAAATAGTTCAGTGAACTGTTGCTGGTTGTTGGTTGTTCACAACACTCAAGTTCTTCCACCACATGTTGACAGAAAAGAAGGAAATTTACTGCAGCATATTCTTAATTGTCAGATGCAAAAGAAGTCTTTTTAGACAGAGAGATGGGTAGGAAAGAAAAAGGGAGAAGAGAAGAACAAACACAAAACAAGAAAGGAGAGAATTTCAGAGTTCTGGAATATTTTTTATTATCTAGGAAATCCTCACTCCACATAAGATTAGATCTGGCAAGCTCTCTAAAACATTCACACACATAGAATTCTATTATTCAATTTAATAAGGAGATGAGTTGAAGCTTTCCTTTGAAAAATTCAATTTAAAGCAGATTAACTAATATATTTAAACAATAAAATTACCCACTTAACTGCACAGCATAAACAGAACTATAAACTATGACAAAATTATCTGAGAATTAAGTCATGTGAAATGAACTTTAAACAATTTAAAGGAAATATGAGCATTTTGCCTCTGATGTTAGCTTTTACTATGCAAGGATATATAAGTAATACCTATGCATTACTTTTACTAACTAATGTTACACCACTATTTAATGTTACCATCTTGTCAACTCAATCTATATCTCGTTTTCCATGTTTAAAACTAGAACCTTCTGCTTCTTCAGAAGCATGTGAAAATCACTGTGAACTAAAGAAATTTCTTGCAGTTTGAGAATGTCACTAGCACAAATTATAAAATAACATAACCAGAATTTCTAGCTACATCTACTACTTATCAGTCCCAGTATATGGCATTTATTCTTTTTCTTTTTACAGGGAAAATAATTCCTTGCTGGACCTAGTGGTTACTGGTGCCATTTAGCAATATTTTATCTTTGGTCTCCTTGCATTTTTATTTGAAAAATCTGCTAGACTTCATATTTTGTAGGAATAGCAGATACCTAGCATCACTTTTACCATCAGAAAAATATCAGAACTCCATAAAACCATTAAATAAAACTGTATTTGACTGGCTTTTCTCACGGTAGCAATCAGAAGGTTAATGTATTATAGAAGGTTGGGCAAGATTTGTTTTGTTTAAACAAAGTATAGTTAAATAGAAATTCAGAATGCCAAAGAAGTTTTACTTTACCTAAGAGAGACTACCTTGAGATTTAATTTATTATAACCTCTAAATATCCTTTATGAAATATATTATTATTTTCATACTTTTCTGCAAACAATTTATTGTGGTGAATGTCCTGGCTACAAAGAACTAATGTGTCTTTTCTAAAGGTGGCCACTAACTAAATTTATCTCAAGTTCCAGTATGAAAAGGTGCCATAACAGGTACGTCACTGAAATTTTTTCTTTAGGTCTAAAACCAAGCTTTCCAAACCCAAGAAACTGGCATTTAATTCTTTTTCCTACTCTTTCTCATATGGTCTTTGCAAGTGGAGAAGAAACACAGCTATATTAAAAAAATAAATTAATAACAAAAATAATAATTGGTATTGGAATTTTCATCACACTTCTTCAAAGGTAATATTGCAAAAATAATAACTGGATTTAAAATCTCCTTTATTCACATCAAGAAAAGATACTTTCCAGGTTTTAGATCTCAAACAATACACTATCCTACCCAGCAGAGTTGTGGTGACAAAATACATGATTTAGTAATCTCATAATTCCTTGTTCTTCCAAATTTAAAATAAACAATTTGGTTGCACTGCCCCATGCTAGTTATCTTTCTGCAACAGATATAAATTGCAATGAAGTATAAAGTTCAGAGATATAATACATTATGCTACTTGCTATAGCATCTTCATAACAGAATAACTTCAGGAAATCAACATATTCGCAATTTAAACTGTCTGCATTAAACTCTTACTTATAATGCAAATAAATAAAGTAATAAAAAGTTTAGAAGACTATAGCAAAGACTAGTAGAACAAGAAGCTTATGTTCTCTTTCTCTTGCTTCATAAATACTCCTTCAGTAATGGTTAACGAGACAATTTAAAGTCCACAGTGAATTCATAAAGTACACGCCATACTTGCGTTTAGTTTATTCATAGTTTAACTCTCTGGGTAAGCGTCTCTCTTTATTAACCTCACTGCAAAATCCCACCAAGAACATTTTCTTTTTCTCTGTCTTTTTTTTTACCTGAGTGTCAGACGGGGCGCTGGAGGCTGTCCTGGAGCAAGCCCTGCTGCCCGCGTTGTGCCAGGGCCATGGCTGGTAACGCCGCACAAGGCGCTCGCCCTGCCCTTGGCGCAGCCACGAGAGCCAGCAGAGCCCTCGCACCCATCGGCTGCTGGGAATGTGCTGCCGTGGGATTAGCCTTGTTAAGGGTTCACTGGGCACTCACCCATGGCCCCACAGCATTGCTCGGTTTGAACATCTAATCTGACGCCAAAAGAAAAACAAATCCCTTGAGAGCTTGGATTTAACTGGCACAAGCCTTGATGGGCTTTTTGTCTCCTCTCTTCTTTGCCCCTGAGAAAGTGAGCTGGTCTAAGTGCGATAAGATGCTCTGAGTTCTTAAGTTTGACTCAGGAAAACCAATCCATCAAAAGAAACACTGTACTAAGCTGGCAAGAGCTTGAGAACACGGCAGAAACTGTTAAGCTCCAAAGAATGAAAGCAGTGTGTTTATGGGGCAGCTGTGAGAAATCTATACACATCTGAAATATATTGCAAATAATCAACAATGGCATTTTTCCAAAGAAACTGGGGTTTTGTCACTGTTTCCCACCACAACTGCTGTCCTGTAGCGCATATAACTTTTCATAAACACAAACCTTTGTCCTTCAGAGACAAGTAGCTGCACTGTTTTCATCATAATTAAGAGCTGGTAACTTCAACCAGAACCTGAATATTTACAAATTGGGGACTACTTTACTGTGTCCTCTTGATATTAACATTGATGAATAACATTTTCATATGAACAACACCTTAATTTTTATTTCAGTACCAAGCAAAAACATAGGTTTAGTTACTTACTTCAAGAGTTTTCAACACATAAAGTATTTTGACTCTTAACTCCCACCACCATGTTTGCATTAGCTCCTCTCTACTCCTACATATGACTACATCCCTTCCTTTCCTTATCATTAAGTGTTCATCTGACAAAAATATTCTCTCCACCCTTGGTACTGATAAAAACCACTCTTGGTACAAGAACTAAAGTGTTCTGCATGTGAATTAGCTCTGATGGGCCTAGAATGGGCAAGGCTGAGAATATGCATCAACTTTCAAACTTCTTACACCATCACACATGTGGAGAAGCTTCTGCTAGGCTGACTAATCCATGAGATTGCTTTTGTCTCTTGGTTCCCTAAGTTTTTGTGTAAAATACATACACGTATTTTGTAAGTATTAATATATATATTAGGAATGTACACATACTCTCTACGTGTGTATACACACACACACACACACACACACACACACACACACACACACACACACACACATTCTTCTCCAGCAAACCTGTGCCCTGTGAGGTTTCTGAGCCAGAGATTCTGTGCTTATCTTGTCAGATCTCTTAAACACAGGATTG